AAGAAATCAGTATCAGTACAGATTCCAAGCAAATGCAAAAGGCTTCTGTGCATGGTAGTGATTATGTGTGTGGCCTGCACAGGCTAATTTCAGATGCTCCAAAGCTCCGTGGACTTTCTCCTTCATAAGCTATTTGGGATTAAAACTAGCACCTCATCCATTTCAACTCTGACAATGGACACAAACACAAGGTAAGCTAATCAAGCCAAACAAGTTGAATGTTCCCCCTCACAGGTGGCTGTTTTAATCTTAATCGACTACTGAATTTTACCAGACATGCTACACTTAATATTTTGACAGTTGTTTATTAAAATTACTTTCCTAGGAAGTCCTGTGAAACCAACAGTCTAGATTTTATCAGAATGGAGGGATCAGAGAGAAGCGGGATTGATAGCACACTTGCAGCAAGCAGACAATAATAGGAAACTCTTAGCACTCCCAGAGTTGCATCAAATTTTCCATGGACCAAAACTAAAATGAAATATTCAATTACTGAGAGGTAGATAAGTAAAATAAACAACTAATTTCATGTAGTGTCGTTGGGAGAGAATCATATGGACCTCATTCTGTTGTCTCCAAACACTTTGTCGAAGGGGGGAAAGGAGCTGAGTAAACTTTAAACTCTCATGGAGGGATGTATTGCTTGTGTGTCCCTGGCAGATGTGGAAAGGAGATGAAATGGGCAAGGGAGAATCAAATATCCCATCGCTGCAGGTTTGCTGAGGGAAAGAGCACTGCAAAGATCTCACATCTGGCAATCATTTGTCAAGAGCTGGAAAGAGAACGGCAGGAAACTTTCTGGCTCTTGGAGAAGATGAAAAGACAAAAACCATGTGTCACACACACACACACACACACACACACACACACACACTCGCGTACACACTCGCGCACACACACACACTAGGCAATGGTACAATGACTACTACACTTATTCCCCACCCTTCCTTACCCTCACTAAATTTAATGATCTTCAGATATACTCCACTCCATGGTCAAAAACATGCAGTCACTTGACTTGTTAAAGCTGCAGTCTATGTACATTTTTTCAAATAAACCCCAGGGCTGATGTTAGAAAATCAAAATCAGTCAAGCATAGACCGCCTGGTACTTTGGGCAGGAATCCTTGTGGTTTCGTCAATAAACAGAATCTGAATGAAAGACACCACAGTAACTAGACAGTAACGTTTTGAACAGTTCTTAACCTGAAGGGGGGATGGGGAAGGCGGGTGCACTAGTGACCATGGACAGAAGGCTACCAGTCCATTTACATCACTCTCTCTACCTGTGACACAACTGTGTTTAGCACAAGGTCATCTGTTATTTCTAACCAATACTCAAAAACACCAGTGAACTTATATTTGAGGGATGTTGTGAATGAATTTGGAGAGGAAACTGTTGTGTATTTTTTTTAATTACCACACCTATTTAAAAGGGTGGGAAGGGGAAATCTCAGATTCCGTTTAATGCATACTAGTGATAACAATATAAAAATTTGCTAGCTTCGTTATGAATTCATAAAAATGACCAGTTTTGCATCAGTAGGTTTAAGTAAAAAGTTTTCAAGACACCCTGTACACAATTAATTAACTTCTCCAAAATCACAAGAATTTAAATCTGTTCATGGTGATCTACAGTCTTCACTGGGCAGCTCTGGTCCACCCTTATGCTGAGTTTAACTAGCAGCAGCCGCCAATCTTGTCCCTGTGATTCCATGAGTGAATGCTGCAGGTTGTTTAATAACCTGGCAAATTCACAGTAGCTTGTCAAATTATTACAGGAACAGTGTCATCACTAAACAAGCCTGATCACGGTTAATTACAATGCAGACTAGAGAGCAGCCACAATTGTTCATTAATTACAGGAAGCACCTCATTTAAATTTTATGGAAATTTACACTTGCACCCCGGTATGTCTGGAAAAAAAAAAGTGATCCTTCACGCATTCACAGAAGAAAGGAGTCTGTGGTTTATGAAACACCACAGTGAATTGTGTCTAATCTGGTACAGAAATATTGGTTCATTATTTACTCTAATTTTCTAAACACTTTAGTGGTGAAAAATATCAAGTCAAACCCCACATCTTTAATTTCCCAACCAAGAAAGGAAATGTGCTGGGCCTACTGTAACAACTCAATACCTGATGAGGCACAGTTAGACTAAAAATAGTAACTTTTCTCTGATTAAAAATAAAAGTTACCAGCAATTAAGGGAGTGTATACTAGAATAACCATTGCCTAGAAAGCACTTATAAGAACGCAATTTTTATACATCATCATCTACTACACATCAGTTTACCTCTCCAGCTGGAAAAAAAAAGTCATTTTACACCTACTTCAAAAGCCACAGAAGAAAATTAACAAAGTTAGATAGTGAATCAAAATCTTGATTTCCATCTACTTTTCTAAATCAAGTCTATTAACACACACACACACACACACACACACACACACACACACACACACACAGAACAGATGTCATTGCAAAAGGACAAGTCAGATTATAATCATTCCAAATCAAAGTTATATCCATGAAAGAGTGACAGGGATCTTGGGAATATAAAACAATAACTTTGGTAAGACATCTGACATTTTAGGGATAAAAGAAAAGGGTTAAAAGGAATACCTTAATCAATAAAGAAAAAGTAAATATGAAGAAGCAGGAAAGGACTCCACCAGTCATGAAAACTCATGTCAGTTAAATATAAAAGTAGATCAAATATGGGTGCTAAATGAAAATCCTTCCTAGGAAAAGATATAAACACACCACTGCTCCTAAACCGAGGTGCCCACGAGGTTATTCTCAGAATCAAGAGATGACATTGAGAATCCTCTGGAGGTTATGGTGTCTGGCCCTGAGGGACAGCCTGAGATCTGAGTGGGAAAATAAATGACTCTGATGACCCTGGCAAGTCCTAGAGTAAGTCCCCTGGAGTGTAGAGTTGAACTAAAAAATAAGAAATGGCTCATTCTGTAAGGGAAGGGGAAAACTAAACACCAGAATACATTCCATGGCACGAATGAAAGGACTGTAAGCTAAAAACTACTCCTGGAATTGTTAGCTGGTGAAGAAGATATTAGGGCTCAAGTTTGTTATGACTGATAAAATATGGGTATATACTAGATATTATTACAATGTAATAATAAAGCCAGATTTAAAAAATGAAGAGGAAAAAAGAGAAGGGAACAGTTCAAGTGAGTCCCAGTTAATTCACCAATTCACCGTAGTTGACTATCTTTTGACGGGTTCTACCTTTCCACTCAGTCTGCCAAAACAGTGTTGCAAGAGGAGGAATCCAATAAACTGAGCACTTTTCATTTCTTTGCCCAGGAATTTGGTTGCCTTTGCAAGGCCCACGCTGCACTGTCAACTCCACACTTTGTTTCACCACCTACAACCAGAGTTTCACTGAAACTTATAAATACGCATTCCCTCCCTTGGTATGTCATAATAATGAGCTGCCTTAGTCTTTTTCAGTTTTGCATCACACAGTCACATCTGCAAAACCCATTGCTCTTTGCACCATAACTCAAGGTTCAAAAACAAATGATCCAACAGCCACCCATGACAGACCATTCCAGGTGATGTGTTTGAAGACCATCAATTGTCCTACCCAACGAGGTCAAGGATCAGACTATTCTCCAGGAAAAGTCTTCCATCACTTTGCATTGATGTGTCACACACAAGCTGTTAACTTGCGAAAACTGGGAAATGCACGCTTCATGTCTCATATGTGTCACACCTGCTTTTCTGTTGTATCACAGCCATACACCACCCAGGCAGTACCAGCTTGTGGCACTGAAGAGCTCAGGTGGTCTTCCTAGTCCAAGAGCAGGTGTGCAAGTGATGGTGTACCCTTCAGAACCATAAAAACCAAAACCTCCTCCTACCACCCCTTCTGCCTTCACTCCCATTGTGAGGAAGTAACGTTTAAAACTATTCTCTTTTCTCATGTGGGTTATCTCCATCAGTAATACGTTTTAAAACCGAACTCCCTATGCTCATCCCATACGTCTGAAAACTTTAGAAAGTGATGCCAAATGGAGGTCCTAAAAAACACTATTGAGTTGGCTTATGCTAGGGATTGGCATCCCTATTGAAACCTCAGCCTGAATCCTTGCATCCCTGGCACACACAATTCTTACATATTTAAAGATACATGGAAGTGGAGACATTACTTTGGCCAAGACATCATATTTATATTTTTAATTTGCAATATACCAGACTGCTTTGACTATCTTAAGACCAAAGAAAATGAACTGAATTCCAAGTAAATAATTTCATACACACACACACACACACACACACACACACACACACAAAAATGTACTTTGCTAATAAACTTACTATTCTACCAGAGGCTATATCTCCCAATCCATGCAGAAGGAAGACACCTATTACTGAGTCCTATTTCTCCAGGACAGTGCCCAGTGGAATGGCTTGCATTTTCCTGGGCTGGGGGGCCATAATGCAGGAAGCATAGCCTTGTTCATCAGGTATCCCCAGTCCCTAGCGCAGTGCCGAGCACATGACTATGATGATTTAAAAAGATGGGAGCTAATATTCCCAGTGCCTGTTGCGTGCCAGGCCTAGATTAACTGCTAGGCATACTCTGGAACATTTAATCCTCATAATCACCTTGCGTGGTAGGTAGATCTACATGTTACACACAAGAAAGCTAAAGCTCAGCTAGACTGAGTGACTTGCCAAAGGTCTCACAGCAAGCAGCTTGCATCACCTGGGCAGCCAGCCTTCGATAGCCACGGTCTTATCCACTGCAGTGAGTACTATTACTTGGGTTAATAAATACATGATCTCCAGTCACAGACAACTTATCCTGAAAAAGACGTTTTGCTGATATATGCTACACTGGTCCCTCTTTTACACTTGTCTCAATGGTTGTCTGTCCGTCTCCTGGTGTCACAGATACGTCTCTACGGCCTTTGGGAGCCACTGTTTCTGTCACGCCACCCCCAACTGATAAAACAGTAAGACTCCAACCTGGACTTCCAGCCTCTGGTCTGGCTCCTCCAGGCTTGGGCAGAAGTCTGCACCCAGCACTCTGCCAGCACATGCCACTGGAACCTGGGGGAATATGGCGGAGTTAGATAGGCGCTGGGCGTGGAGGCTGAGAACTGCACACACACACACATACACACTTGAAGCAGACATAAGTAGGGGCATCCCAACTGCAGGTCTGTAACAGGCCACCGTGGCTTCACAGGTTTTTTGACACTTAGTAGGTCAAACTTGTAACTATCACACATCCTAGATTGCTAAATACCAAGAAGGTTAATTCCAAGAAGAAAAGGTCCACATAATATGTATTCCCCCTAGTATCTACAGCATGCAGCACCAAGTAGGCATGTAAATATCTGTAGATGGAAGGAGGAGAGAAGGGGAAAGATAAAAAGGCATGGAGAAAGGAAATAAGAGAGGGGAAAAGAAGCTTGGTGATACTTAATCTGTTGTCAATTTTCTTATGTGGAAATTAAGAAAATTGTATTCTATAATGGCTAACGTTCCTCTGCACTCTTAAAAGATCTATTCAAATCTATTATATTCCTGGGATAGACTAGCAAAGACAAGTTTATTTATCAATATTTACTATTTACTTACTATCATTATTTATGTCTGTTCTAATAATAAAATTATAACCATAAAACAGTTATAACTTAGTTTAGTTCGTTGTTTCTAGAATTCTACACTGAACGTCGCTAACATTCCCTTTCAAGAGTAAGTTATTCATTAAAAGGAGTCAATCTCATTCTGAAATACTGCCTCCTATAACTTACTTAATTGTAGACTTTTTAAGATAAGGAAAAAAGGATTTAGATTTTACTTAAACCTGTCTTTTTCCTTTTAAATGTTTTATCTAATATTCAATACGTCCAAAGATATACTATTTCATTATTATACATCTATCCATTTATATAGGAATTCATCAATTCTCAATTCATCAATCAGCTTCACCTCACCTGTGTCCTTTCCCTATCAAAGTCCTCCTTTGGTGTTTAGTTTTGTTTCTTTTCTTTTCTTTTTTTTTTTTTTAACTCCTATTAAGATCATCTGTGCCAATCAATTTTCGTTGTTAAGAGATCACTTTTTAGCCAACCATGCTACCTTAGAAGGTATTTCCCTCTTTCTTTTGACCCACAAATCAGTTCACTTCTCCAAATTTTAACAATATCAAGAAGCTTCATTTTGCAATATTGCTAATTTTTTACTAGTGAATAGTAAATAGTGAACATTACTATTAAAAAAAAAAACAGTCAAAACTTCAAACATTTCAGATTCAACTTTCCTATTCTTTTTTTAAATCTTTTCTTCTTTCTTCCTGACTTTGTCCATAAGGCGAAATGGACAGAATATCATCTAACTCTGAAATTAACTAGTCTTTACCCAGGAATCTCTCTAGTGAAGTCCAAGAGGGAAAGGAAAAGGTCACATTTACAGGTTCACATGCTAGAGAGTTGCACAGCCCAAACTTTAAAAAAGAGGAAGAAAGACTGAGAACATATTTCAAAGTTAATGAAAAGCATATAGTAGTATTTAGTGGCATTCATTCTAGGGGTATTTGATGTTTCACATGAAAGAAGTTACAAAGAAGACAAAGGAAATGGAGAAGGTGTTACCAGAAACCAAGGCTGACTACCTGCTCTTTGGTCTAAGACAACGTAAGCAATGTAAAAGGGAACCGAGTCTTGGACTTGAGGAATGAGAACGAAATGGAGCATGGAGAAGAGTGGGGACACTGTGCCTCTGGGTTGTGTCACACACAGGCTGATGCTGATTCCACCCCTCAGATGACACACGGAGGGGTACTAATGAGTAACGCAACAGTAATTCTCCCCAGGGTGCAACAGAAGGACTGGAAAAAACTCATCTTAGAATATCCCATATCAAAATGAAACACCCCCAAAGCTTCCCATGAAACCTCAATAAATGTGACTACTTAGCTTACTAAAGCAGAACCCGTGAGCCAGAATTAAGTGTAAACAATACTTTATTTTATATACACAGAACAAAGTCCCACTTACCTTAATATTATTTGGCCAGGTCACAAATTTTCTAAGTTTTTAGTTCCTTCCCTCTCCCCCCACTAACAGAATGCATTTTATAAACACTCGCAACAGGAAATGAGACAGTTAACCAAGTACAATGACACTCAATTACAACCTCAGACGCTTAGAAATACAGTTTCTGAGAGAAAGCAAGAAGTGCTGTGAATAAGCTGGGAGGAAGCTGTGCCAGGCCTCTAGAATGTTTCAATAATCCAGATCAGAAAAAGGATTTAGTAGGAAAGTGGGTAGAACTTAGAATCCTCGAGTTTCAGAGCAGAAAAATAATCTGTTAGTGTCCGTATAAATGGACTCTCACATTTTAAAGACGAGGAAACTGAGGTTCAAACTAAACTGCAGTTTCAGGGATGGGCTCCTCTTCCAACAATACTCTCCTACTCCCATTGACAATTGGTGTCATTGATTATCATAGAAAAAAATTTTAAACAAAAGATAAGTGACAGTATCTGGTTCCTAATTTATTAAAATGTACCAAGGAAAATACAAAGGATATAAAAGTTGATAACCTAATTAGTTATAATTCAGCACACCTAGATAATTAGGCCTTTTGATTTAGAAGCCTCCTTTGTTAACCAAATAGCTATGAATCAATCAAAAAATGATTGGCAGGAACAAATTATGGAAATTCATATACTACTCCATTTTAAGTGAAAATAGTAAAATATAGTGTATACCCAACCACTGTTTACAATGGAATATATTATAAAACTTAAATTGATTTGGGGAATTCCAATGTTAATCCACCTTCCTTCATGTCAGCGTTCACAGTGTCTGTTCCAATGCCCTATTTTTAAAACTAAGTTCTCCAATGATTTTTGCAAAATGTTCACAGTGATTTTTATCTCTGAAAAGAAGACAGAGGGAACCTTTTAAATTCTTTGTCTTAATCATTGCATATTTTGCTCTTAAAGTAACAAAAACATTTAAGTTGAAAAGAAAGAAAAGTACTATCCATTATCAGTTAATGTGGCTAAACATTCTGCCACAGGTTTCATTATGGGATGGTAATTGTCTAGGACTCATCTAAATTTCTTTCTGCTGCTGCAGCAACAGGAAATAAGAGGCCTTGGAAGGGACCCTCTAGGATCCCCAGGGTAGGCAGAAGCTGAGTGCATATCTACTCTCCTGTACATACCTCAAAGGAATCATGGTGTGTGAGAGAGCTATTTACAACTTACTTTGTGTATAATCAGCAGAAACAAAAGATATGACAACAAGCATAAAAGCCTCTCTCCCTCCCTCTCTCTCACTGTTCTCTCTCTCTCTCTGCTCTCTCTTTCTCTCCTCTCAGGAGAATTCAGCAAGGGAGGGCCAGTGGGTATTCACTTCAGTGTCAAAAGGGCTTCCAGAAAACACATTTTCTCTGGGGCAGAGAGGAAATATGGCAAACTTCCTACACACACACACACACACACACACACACACACACTCACACACAAGTTCTTTGTTTACAGAGATCACACAGAAAGACTGTGAGAAGCCAGATTTCTGAAAAGAAGTTAGGAAAAGCCCCACACTAAAAGGAAGCTACCGTTTACAATATTTGAAGTGGAATGGGGGTACAAGGTGGGTGTCAGGAACGGGACAAAGGGAGAGAGAATGAGGCACAGACATGGTAACCTGGGAAATGAAATGTGTTCCCAAGAAAAGGGCTTATAGACTCGGAGATGCTCTTTGCACAGCTTGAGCCCATTGGAAATGTAATTTTATTTTTGAACATTAAGCATTCAGGTAGGCACTTGCCTGACAGGCACTATAAAAGTCACAGCCTAAATAAGCAAACTGACTCCCATTTCAGCTCAAGTCTCTTCTGTTAAGCTGGCCACAAGCCCAGATCGGTTCTGAAGTGTACGTGTTTTGGTGGCTTCAGTCTAGCAGCTAAGATATGAGGGAAACTGTCTGAACCCAAGAAGAACTTGGAAAGGAATGGATAAACAAAACTGCTTTTCAAAACTAAAGGGAGAGCGAAAACCCAAAGCAAGTCCTCTCTGGGGACTAGGGGACATGGCTGGGCACAAGCTCTGCCACGTTCCAGGCCAGAGAAAAGCACCAGAAGAACTTCAGCCTGGTTTCAGTGGGCAGACAATGCCAAGCAGCAAAAGGGACAATTATGCAGATAACACAAAGAATTCAGGAAGACCATTAAGTGAAATGGATTTGACAATAAGCTAGCCAGGAGCCTGTGTGAGAAAGAGCAGAGAAAGGAATAAATTAATTAGCCACCACAGTGAAGATGAGAATGCACGCGAAACACAGGGCTGCAAAATAAATGAATGCAAAGGCTGAAATGCAGGAAGGTGAGTCGGGTTGTTGATGTGCTGCTATAGCTTATATCCTACTCATTTTTCAGGTTACGATTTAACTAATGAACAACATTCCAAGCCTAAACTTTCTCATCCATGGAAGCCCAGGCTAAGACTCAGAAGGACCAACTATATAAACCCAACGGTTAGGTATGAAAACACTGCTTTCTGGTCTCAGCTACTGGTGAGTCCAAACACTTCTTTATCTCTCTTCCAAAAGGAAATTGCCAGAACTGTGCTCATTCTTACAGATGAGACAGGATTGTAGGAATGGGGGAACACAATCAGGATGAGAGCTATGTTATAGAAGAAGAACTATGTAGGACAGTGGACAGGCCACTCTGGAGACATCTCAGATCAATGAGTTTGAGGATCAGGTTAAGAAAAGAGAGAATAGAAAAGAGTCAAGTATGTGATTCTGCTACTCTACAGGTTGACGAATACAGAAGGGGACTGGGGCCGGGGGAGACACATCTCGGAGCAGCCAGGCCTGTTTAATTGAGGTTCAGGCTCTTCCTGCTGGTCCTCTTGGGGAAGCTGCCAGAGAACAGAGCCCTAGGCTCCTTGATCGGAGCAACCTCTGCAGGTACAATTACAGGAGATTTTCGCCGCCACAAACAACATCAAAAATACCTTGTTTTTATACTGTGAAATGTAGGATAACACATATAAACCTCTCTTGCCTGGTGACACCATGGAG